CTGTTTGTTTATTGCAACCATATTTCTTTCACACCCAGTGCTATTAAAAGTCAGAACTAGATACATGATATCGTTACTGTGATTAACAGTCAATAGAATTCCTAATTCCTTTGGTCCTTTATGTTGAACAGTTCAGGCCGTGGTACTTGCCTTGATAATGAGCCTCCCAAGCGTGACTTTCTTTATCCAGCTGTGGCCCCAGGTCAGGTGTATGATGCTGATGAACAGTGTCGCTTCCAGTATGGAGCAACATCCCGCCAATGTAAATATGGGGTAAGAAGTCTTAATCCTTATGCTGAGTGTTCTGCTTAGTCATTTGTATATATTCCTTTATAACAGACAACTTTAGTTAGATGGAGTAGTGGGTTACAGATTTCCTACAGTATTCTGTCTGGTGCCGCCATGTGTGAGCGAAGGGTTGATTTTTTATCTTTATGCTGCATCTTTTGCTTGAGTCATTTGTGTGTACGGTACTCCAAAATGTGTGAGTAACAATGAGTTGAAGAAGCATTTTTTTTAATGTTAGGAGGAAAAAGAAGCCTGTACCACTGATCCTGCTTCTTCTAAACTGAGCACAGATTTCAGTTAAGTGAGATCAGGTCCGTCTTGTATTAATCTTGAAATGTGAAATCTGCAAATCTGTTGTGTTGGCGTAACTTTTCAATTTAAAGCTACATTTTGAAATTTCTTTTGTACTTGTGTTGATTTGCCCGGTCTGTTTGTTTTACTTTTTTTTCTACCTTTTTTTTTTTTTCTGGCATTACAGTTATTGTTTTTTACATTATTCGGATCTCATACTGAGAAGAATAATTGGGTATGGGAAGAGCAAAACATGATAGTAAATAACTGAAAAGAGCTGAGTATAGAAGATTTTGGTTGCTAGTACCAGTGTGCAGTATTTAAGTTAAAGGATTTGACAGTAGAAATAAAAACTGCACACTAATATTTAGGCCATTTATGCAATGCATCTTTAAGTGTTATCTTGAAGAAAATCTTGCTCAAAATATCTAGTAAAAGGATGCATTCTGTTATGCTTGTCATTTAATTTAGTCTCAGCTAATAATTTAATAAACCTTAAAAATATATCTAATAGTTTAAAAAATGGATATTTTTTAATAATATTTTAGTTACTGGTTATTCAAATAAAATAGGGTAATCATTAAAATTGTTCTAATCACTTTTCTAAATGTTAAATATAAAGAAACTCTATGTTTAATATCCCTAGGTGACAAATAACAGTATTATTCTTGGGATGGCTCTTTGGCAGATCATATTGTACAAAGGATTTAAAAGCTGTATGTAGTTGGCTGACTAGCTTGCTGGATCTTCTGTTCTTGATCTCTCATTAAAATTCTCTTGGCCTTTATTATTTCTCTTTAAGATCTCATTTCTCATCCCAGTTCTTTGAGGGCTTCTTCTCTGTTTTCTGTCACTTGATCTAAGACCTACTCTTCTTTTTGTCCTTGTGTCTTACTAATTCTCACCACACACACTGTTTTCAGACTAAGGAAATCTGCAGGTATTTCGTCCATTGTTTTTGGAGTTATACTGCATTTTAAATTAAACTAGAAAGTTAATAATGTGCAAAACCTGGCTTTTCTTATTGTACATTATTTTTTCAAACTTTGTTAAACTGTGTAATTGTTGTTGTGATGATCAAACTGCACAGAGCGGTTTTGTTTTTAAACCAGTATTTTGACCTTAAAAATGGAAATGTTTAGAAGTAATAAAGACTTAAGTAATCTTGGCTCTTTGTTTTTGAGGGTTTTGTTAGGATTCCCCTATATTTACAAAAAAGATGCTGGAACTTAACTGTGACACTACTTGAAAGAAATTAAGTCTTCATGTGACATCACCAGTCCTCCGAGTTGATGCAATATATTGTGTTCCACCAGTGTAGCATGGAGCATGACTTAAAAAATACATTTTTTGTGAGACAAATAATAACAGTATTCAGATAGTATATATTTACCTGATGATTTACATGATAGTAAAAGTTTGCCAATCTATTATATACATTTAAAATACTGCCTACCATAACTCTCTGAAAATGCTGCCATAATTATGATGGCTCATCTTTCAAGTGATGCCTTGGAAGAGAAGAAAATTACCTGCAAGTTGATAGCAGATTGAAAATATTCAAAGAGGTAATATCTCCTCATGGGAGAAAGGGTTTTTGAAATTGAAGAGTAGAGCTAGCTCTAAATAGCCAGAAAATTGACTGTTAGTTCTATTCTTCCATTATTAAAGCTGCAACAGCCTTTGGTTCAATACTCTGGATGTTCCTATTTGATGTCGTACTTGCAGCAAAACACTACACTGTAACAGTTATTTGGTTCCATTCTAACAAATATATGTGCAGGTATGAACACAGAGACATAGTGATGTTCTCTAATGAACAAAGTAACCTAGTAGGTGCACTAACCTTTTGCCAGAAGTCAGCTGCCCCTATGCTGAAGTGCCTGTACTTCACTGTAATTTTTCTGACATGGATTTTAGTAACTCAGAAGGAAGGAAACTCTAAAACAAAGGAAAATCTGAGAAATAGTTGCCCTCCGTTTTGCTTACATATTTCACTGATTTGTAATGGTTGAACTCCCAAGTCAGAAAGACAAAATCACAAATTTTATTTAGGCTGATATGTCTAGATTGAGTATTCTTTGGATTTTTAGTATTTTAGACTTAGTACTTTCAAAGCAACTTAGAGAATTGTGATGCTCTTTCTGCTTTAAAATTCTGTTCTGATGTGTCTCCTTTAGAAAAATTACCTCTTTCAGCCATCTAACCTAGATGACAATCTGTGTTCTTTGCTATTTCTCCCCTATTTCCTCATGTATTCTCTATGTGTGTTTATTTCAACCATATGTTGCTTTTGATCATAAACTGTGTCCTGATCCTGTACAAAAGTGCAAAAGAATTTTGCACTTTTAAGTACATGAAGCCTTCTTTTTCCCTTAGGATCTTAAATACCTGGAGAGGTGTTTGAGGCATTAGGACATCAGAATACAAGTACTGAACAGGCTGCAAGGCTCAGCCTTTCTAGTGTGTTTAGTGAAAGGAACTTTGGCCCTGAAAGGACCTCTGTGGTAGTTTTGCAAGAATTACTGTTAGATAAGACCTAAATAGGCAAGGGCAAAATAGATCTATCTGTTTTTTCACTTATGGACAAAACTGCTCCAGCAGAAGCATTACTGCTACTGGTTAGATTTTCCTGTGATGTTCAGCACATGAAGTCAAACAAGAATTCAAGGAGCTCAAGTTTAGCTAAGTTATCAGTAATGCCTTTCTAAGCAGCGATCTTTTAATGTCACATTTGCATTGTTCTTTGTACTTTTCACAAATCCCTGATACAGTGGCAATTTTAGAGAATTTAAATTAAGGAATAGATACTTTGAATGAAAAAAAAAAAGAGGAAAACTTGTCACAAATACTTAAAGCATCAATGCTTAAACATTAATGATTAATAAAAGTAAGAAAATAAGATACACTTAAAATACTACATTTTTAGGATACAATATCAGAATTAACTTTCATTAAGCCAAGTTGTGGATGTTTTGCTATAAGCACAGCTTTTTCCTGAGGTCAATACATGTTTTCACATATCTGACTGGATGCAATGCAGTGGGAGAGCCTGAAGTAGTTGGAGACCATATGAAGAGCACCAGTTGCTATTCATTCACTTTGCTAGGGGATAGCTTCATCTTTGCTAGGATGATGCAGTGTGACTTGTCCTCTGCTGGTTGTCAAGCATGGCTCTTCTCCACTTGATGCGCTGGTTCTCCTGGTACTAGAGAAACTTTTTCAGTCTTTTCATTTGAGTGAATGTAAGGAGAACATTTTTCATGGACTCCTTCCTTCCTTAACTTCTTGAGCATCTGCTTAATAATTGGGCTGTTGGCTCTATCTGGATTAACTTGGGAAAAAATTCCAGTCTCACTTTGAATTTCTCTGTTTTATGGGTTTAAATATATATATATTTAAATATATATACCTAACTGTATTTTAGAGATTTTGTGGTTCAAAATAATGCTTTGCTTTAGAGCTGGTCCTCATATTTTTAGGACAAAGGCTAAAACCTCAGACATTTTAATAGCAGTTAATACTTTATGCATATGGTTGATATTGCTGTGGTGCATTTTATGACCTTTGAAGGTGTTGGCTGCTAGCATAGATTTCAGTAATAGTGCCTAGCAATTCTTATAGTGCATGTTGTTGCAGTCTTTGCTTTCTGAGCTTTGGTAGTGTCAGTATTATGCTTTAAAAAGGTGCGTAAGCGGACAAATTCTTTCCTTTGCATTCATGACTACCTTCGCTCAGATTAGCAGGAGCAATTAATTCATATTTCACACTAGAATTTAACGCATCAGGTAGTGTATTTTAGCTGATGACAGGTAGCTCTTTTCTGTGTCATGGTCTTATGTTTGCAATTAAGTTCTACAGCTAGTTTGCTAACTAAAATAGCTGAAAATTCAAACAGTTTATACTCACATTTGGTTAGTGCATTTTGGAGAACAGATGAAGTTCAAGCTGTGAACTTACTGCCTCTTACTGCTTATGAAAGGCAAATTGAGGATATATCCTCACAGTGAGGAGTCCTCCTGCTGTCCTCAATAGGTCTCTTTCTTTTGTTGTCTCTGAGAAGCTTTTTATGAGTTATGGGGAATGCCTACAAGGCAAATTGCCATTAATGGAAAATTATTGGGAAAGTGTTGACTGCACAAATTCACCTTCATTGCTTCATACCTTCACTGATTCCTACTTTCCCACATGCCAACTCAAAGTAGTCTAAGTAATGAGCTGAAATCCAGGACAATAAACAGATTTTCTATAAATATTTCTGTTCTATAATATTTTCTCTAGGACAAAATCATCTGAAATTACAATTTACCCTTGTAATTAAGTGATACAAATCTTAGTGTTAGGAAATAATACATTTTAATATAGTGTGTATTTTATATGAGCAGAAATGATTACAGATTCAATAGCCAGGGTTGACAGTATTTTCATGGTACATATATTTGATTTAGTTAAAGGAAGCAGTTGAATTTGACTTCAAGCTTTTAGTGTGGTGAAAGGAGGTTCTGAGGTCTCTTTTACAAAAAGGAAAGGAAGAGAAATACTGGTATATCTTTGCTGCAACGCTGCCAGTTTCTGCTCCTGCATCTTCAGTAGATCGTAATATGCATTCACTTGAATTTGTACGCAATACTTACTTCCTAACTGGCTGAAAAGTGGCTCACTCCCTGGCTTCTCACAGCTAAGTCTTTTTATAT